GGGGTGCCCCCTAAAGAAAAGAGGGCACTGAACCAGCCTGATCCTTCCTCCCAGAGGCAGTTCTTGTCCTTTGGCGTGCCACACGAGCAGAAAAGACAACTCTTCCAGCAAAGTCAGGAAAGATGGGAAAGCTGATGAGTTTTGTGATCAGGTGCATGTGGCCAGAGTGCTGCACAATGCCAAAAGGAACTGCTGCTGAATGCCCAGGATTTGGGATTCAACACGAATAACACACGGCTCTATATTTCACTCCTTTAACAAGTGCTGAATATGCAAAGGCTCCTTTCCCAGCTTCTGTCTTCATTCTGGAAGCTGGGGAAGAGCTGTGTGTATAATTATTTTCAGATGCCGTCCACTTTATTGATTAGCTGAGTCGGATGCACAAATACTGGCAGCTAATGCCAGAGCAGAGGTCAAATGAAGCTCGCTCCCTTTTGCGAAAAGCTGAAATAAACCCACCATGTGAATGGGTCATTGAAAACAGCCTGGAATATATTCCCTATAGTCATCCCGAGAGTTCAAGGGCAGGGGAAAAAAGAGGTGGTGGTGGGGGGAACCAAAACAGTTGTCTCTGTGTTCACTAAACTTCTAATATCTGAAAGTGCTTAACAAAACACACAAGAGTTTTTTTCATACAATCATGGAAAAACACACTAAGCTTTTGACTCAATGGTTTTGTTTTTCCAGAGAGTCCCTTCCAGGTTCCACGCACCATCCCATAGTCACGTCTGCTGGGTGAGCTGGGGGCCGACAGACTCGAGAGGAGCTCTCTGTGATTTGGAGTTTCAAGTATCAGCTTGCTGGAAGTGCCACGGAGAGGGAGGAGGGAGGGAAGCGGCGCGAGCTTTGCCAACACACCTGCACAAGCTTTGGGCTCTCTCGTGGACACTCCGTGTGCTAATGATGTATAACCTGCAGAGCCTGGCAGCTCCCTCGCTGAAGACTCTACCAGACGCACTGTGCAAGCCTCTGATTTCTAATTTCTCAAAACAAGTAATAAAGCGCCCCCCTCCCCCAGCCCTGTGCTGTAGGTAAATGCTCAGGATGGAAACTGAGATGTGTTCAGCTGGGAAGAGCTTCTACCAAGGCAAGGAACAAATGACAATTTAATTAGGGTGCTTTAGGTCTATGTAATTCCTCTTGTAAAGCAAAAGGGAGGAAAAAAGCTCAGAGAGAGACAGAGTTCATTTCTGCTCCAATGTTCTGCTAATTTTTCTTTTTACTATTAGAGATTCATCTGGATCCTATTTCTAATCCACTTTCAAATTTGCTTGAATTAAAATCCCAGATCACTGCTGTGTTTTCAAGCTGAAGTGTGCATAGTAGCCAAAGTTTATATTGCAGTATCTGGAGTTATGGAATGATGAGCTCCAAAAGCAGAAACTGTGCTGGGTGCCCAAGTGCTGGGGAAAAAAAATAACTAGCCTTGAAGTTAATACATGGCTACATTCTACATGGGGTTCTGCCCTCTGGAATTGGTGGGTATGGAAGAGCAAGGGCTGCCATGGTGGAGATGTAGGAGTGCGAAGTGCTATTTAATTATAAAGCCTGGATATTTTTGAACTTTCCCCTGATATATAAAAGTTCCCCACTAGTTTGGGGCTTATTTTAATAAGAAATTCACTTTCTGACTAAAGCAGCACAGCAAGAGTGCCCTTGCTTTGAAATACCTGTGCTTTCTCTGTTGCTGCCCCAATCCCAGTCTGAAAGCTGGCACTTCTCCTCCAGCGTCCCGGTTGTGCCTAAATCCAATAGTCTTGTTAGATTTTGCCACCTGGAAAACACCCTAACTCTCATGGAGTTACGAATCCCAATATTCTCTGGGCTTTCATCTCTCTTTTCATGACAATTCCCAGCCGCTGCCAGGTGAAGCCAGCCAGCCAATATTTATGGAAAACGAGGGGACTAATCATTTCCAATAGCGGGACAGGATTAGGATATAATTGCAGCAGTTTGCATTGACATCCAAGTGGACGGATACGGGCCAGAAATTGGAATAACGGTTCCACCCACCTACCACCCAAATGTAAACAAGCCAGCATGGTTAAATGGAGGCCTAGAAGCCAGGCCTCGGCTGTTCTCCTCCAGCTGTGTTCCGGTGGGATTGCCAAGCTGCCACACAACCTTCCTGCCGGGCAGTTCATCCACCCTAAACTGACCCTCACCTCACTCAGAAAGTTCAGCGCCTTCTTTTCACACAGGGCTGCAAGTGCACTGCTGTTAATAAGAGCAAGAGATTATACTTTGGAGATTGAGTGTTGCAGGGTCCTGAATTAAACCTGTTGAGTACCTAAAATCCAGCTCAGCCCAAGCCATGACTGGCCCTGATGTTGTGTGTGCATGAGTGGATAGGGGAATATCTGCGAAGGGAAAGGGAGTCTCAGAAGAGCCTTGACCTTACCCTGGTAACTTACTATCTTGTCCCTCCCCAAGCTGACCTAAATACAACTAAATGAAGCCATTCCTCAAATTACATTGCCAATAAACTCACGACCCTGGGTGAAACAGCATCTGCTGTTTGTTGATGCATCTTGGCGTGCGATGGTCGATCCACTGCTCCCGGTGCCATCACCTGGAGAAAATGGATAATGCTCACCTAGAAAATGGATAATGCTCACCTTCCAGTTCTCAGCCCTAAACACAAGAGAAGCTTGGCCTGAACATGGCCTGTGCCTGCATCTCTGGATATCAGAGGCCTCCTCAAACAGGCTGGCTAGAAGGAGGAAGCTCTTGGAGCCTGGGGCAGTTTGTACCAGTGAGGAACCGGTCTGTGAACACTCACACCTGTGCTGTGAGGACAAGCAAAGGCCCCTGCTCCAAAGCATGGCAAGCTCCAGTCTCCTAAGCTGTATGAAATCCCATTTCCTCTCTACTTGTGCTAAGTGTAAAAACTGAAACAAAGACACACACCTAAATAAACAGAACAGCACAGGGAGCAGAAGGGGAGAGAGGCCCTAGTGCAGGTCAGACGCCAACTGGTACAGAGAGATGTTTTCTGTTTGCGGCCCTTCGTGTCAGACCCTGCTACGTCACGTGGAGGGGAATGTGAGTGGGAGACTTGTTGGACACCGTTGGCTTTACAAATGCCTCACGATTGCAGAAACACCTGCTTTACATTATTTTTCTTGCTGGTCCACAACAAAATTCCTCCCTGGTCAACAGTTCTCAGCAGACTTTTCTTCCTTCTGTGTGGATGGCTCAAACCACTGGTTTCTAAATCCTGGGCCACCACCAGATCTCTCTGGAACCTCCTTGAGTAGGAGGGCAAACCAGAAGGCAGAAGGGCACGTCTGTGCAGAATGCCAAAATGTTGGCCAGAGGGCCAGAAGCACATGAGGCTGCTTACTGTCAGGTGGGGGAGCAGGGCAGGGGGGTTACCCAGGCCAAACGGATCTGTAAGACCCATCTGTTTTCACCATGAAAACCTCACAGCCCACACCTATGCAACACACACCACTCCAGCCACCACAAGTTATTACTCTTGGTCTCCACTGCTTCCTGTGAAGCTGTAATGGGTCTGAGACAGCGTCCAACGAAACCAAAGGGAGCCTTTCCATTAACTCAATGGGCTCTGGATCAGGCCCAACATCTGTTTGGCCCTCTCTGTACACAGCACAGCCAATTTATCCTTTATCCATTCCTGGGCCTCTCTCTCCAACGGCATCCATATTTTTCCTACTTATGGTTGTCATTAACCACACTAAGCACCACCCCCAGAGAGACCATCTGTGCCCCATGGCAGCCAATCCCTTGGCATGGCATAGCAATGAGTGCTTCCCCAACCCCTTATCATCTCAGCAACGACTCTCCTCTCTGTTCAGGTTTCCTTGGAGCTCTTCCTGCTCCCCCCTCCTCACCAAGTAGAGGGCAGGTTGTGCCTTCTCTTCTGTTGTAAACCTGGTGAAGAATCAATGCCAAACTCAGACAGCAAGGTCCAAGAGCTCTCTGAACAGACATTTGCCACCTTGGTTGATGACAGCCCAGGCAAAGACTTCCCTGGAGATCCAGAGTAGGAGGGAGAATAGCCAACAGGCAGCTCATCTTATATTGGAATCCAGAGCTAGAGTAAGAGATTCATTCTTCAAACTGTCTGTGTAAGACCACAGAATATCTGAAGTTGGGTGGGACCCACAAAGTTCATTGAGTCCAACTCCTCAGCTCCTCACAGGACTACTTAAAACTAAACCATATGACTACATGAGCAACATCCAGACACTCCTTGAACTCTGACAGGCTTGGTGCTGTTACCACTTCCCTGGGGTTCTTCCCCACCATCCCTGTATCTCCTCAAGTGTGAATGCAAACACTGTGCCAGTTCACAGCACCGCCATTTCCACTCTCACCAAATCTGTGATTCACTTTGCAGAGACTAAGACAGGACCAGAAGGCACAAACCTTCTCTAGGTCCCACAGCGACAGACACAGCAATGGTCCATGAGATGCCATCCAATCACTGAGCAATACACAACATTCATTTCTTTATGACTCTGCCAAGCCCTTGGATTCCAGGATCTTTTTTTCAACTGGCACACATGGATTCCCATGCTGTGACATGCATGTCATTGCTAAGCAGAGCAACAGCCTTTGCTGAGAAGCCAAGCAGCTTCTTACAGCAGAAAAACAAGTCTCCAGTGCTATATCTAGAGATTCTTCCAAGCACAGAGCTGCAGATTCATTGTGGGCACTGCCTTTGCAAAAGTGAGAATCCCATGCAAAAATACCTGCCCAACATACCCCCGAAATCACATGAGTTTGAAAACGGGAGCGTCGCCTGAGGCCAGCTGTGGGGACTGGCAGGCTGCTGGCACTGCTGCAGAGGCACATCTGCATGTCAGGTACTTACTCATTCCTGCATACTTCCCTGATAAAATCTGGATTGCCTAAAGCTGGTATTTTCACTCGAGTTTCCTTATCAAGGTATTTACCACCTCCTGTCTGTGCCTTGCAGACTGAGGGTGTTAAATGCTCCCCTGTTCTCTCTGCAGTACAGGCAGCTGGAGCATGTGGGAGCTGCCCTACAGGATGGGATTCCAAACCCACCAGAGCACGCAGTGGGTGGTTGCTGGCCTGAGCTCTGTGGGACCTCACCCCCTTGGTACCTGGGATGTTGTTCTTCGGATTCTCACGCTGGCTTTCTGCAGCTCCTTCCCGTGTTTTGGGGTGTTTGCTGAGGTGCTTTCTGGTAGTCCCTGGTGGCATTCTGGAAGTCCTTGTCTCCTGTGCAGGGGTCCCTCCTGGTGCAGCTGTTGCTCAGCTCTGTGAAGAGGAGGACAGTTTGGGCTGGAGTTACCTCAGCAATAGCAGAAGTGTACACAGCACCTCAATATATGCACGTGACATTTTTTCTCTCTAAAATAAAAAGCAGATCTCTGTCTCTCTACATATCAATACTGAGCAAGGCCCGTGGTCACAAAGGCAAACTCCCCTTGGAAACTCTGAGCAATCCCTTTCCAAGAACACCCCCACCTCTCCCCCACCCACTGCTGATATCCATCACCCATTTAGCCAGTGGCTCTCACACCCTCCTCTCCCCATGAGAGAACATCACCCTGAACCCTTCCCAGGGTGTCCTTGATGGCTCTGCTGTTCCCCTACAAGCTTCATAAAAGAGGAAGAACGAGAGACATGCTCTATAACACAGTATCTTAAAAAATTATTCATTTCCTTGAGGGAAAATATTACTGGATTACCCACTGGGAAAACCTGAGCAACAGATCTGTTTCAGCAAGTATGTAAATATTTCATCAGTTTAAGAGCAACACTTGTGGGGATGGATCAGCTGGGTTGACGCTGCTTTGAGGGAGGATGTAGTTTATTTTGGGATGCTGGTTCTGCAAACAAGGCTGTCCTCAGCCCCTCCCATGACTGTTATGCCACAGGTATCAGCTTGTGTCACTCAGACTTAAAAGGAAACTTTTTGGCTAAATTCAAATGGGAAGAAATGAAATGCAATTTGATTTCAGAAATGCCACCGACTTATTTTAGTTCAAAAAATACCAAATAAGGATTTACAGACTTCATATGGAAGGATTTTCTTCTGATGCTTCCGCTCCATTTTTGAATTGCTGATATGCAGGAAAAAATCAGAATTATCACTTGGGGTAGATTTCTAATTGAAATTTCTGTCTTGACATAGGCTGGCTGAAGGAAGTGAGATCTCTTCAGATGCTTTTCCTAAAGAACTGCCCAGCTGTTACCAATCTGAGCAGAGTTGTTTAGATCCCACCACTACACACCCCCCATACTCCCCATCCATGCAGGGGTCTTGAGCTGCTGGACAACATCTAATGGAATCCAGGAAAAAGACCTCTGCTCAGTGTACATCCCCTCTGGGGCCTTTCTGGAAGATGTCACACTTGTATTTGAGGTTTCTGTCACACTTAACAGTGTCCATCCTGCTGAGAGCGCTCCCAACCCCACCAGCCAGGGAAAGCCAGCAGTCCAGGAGAGTCAGGCTCCATGGGCTGGTTTTTCCCAGCACTGAAATCAGAAGTGGTGTTAATTAGGTGCCAACTGCAATGAAGACAGGATGACACGGGCTTCAGCAGGAGCTGGCTGGGATTGTACCCTGCATCCAAGCTATGACCAGCTTTGCATCTTCCCTCTCGTTGGTACTAAGACTAGTTAAGCTAAAACCAGCTTGAGACACGGCCACTCTTGCTCTTTGTTCTCAGAATCTCTCAGAAAGTGCAATTTTTTGGAAGTGTCGAGCACCTGCCACAACGCCTGCCTTGTACCCGGCGCTGAGTGTCCAGAGCAGGGAGAGGAACAGCCCTGAGACACCTCAAGGAGAGAGAAGTACAGCAAAGCAGCTGCTTCACAACGCGCAGTTTTGACCTGTCCTGCACCCTCCAAGGACAGTGCATGAGAATAAAACATAGGGAACCATGTAGTGGGAGAGAGTAGCCCAAAAATTACTCCTGTAGTGAAGAAACCACATAATATATTCAAGATGTCAGAGGTTAGCCGTGGTGCATGTGAATCATGCTGCAAATACCTCACCTTTAACTCTACCGTCGTAATTAGATTACAAAGTTTTTATTACGGTTTTAAATTCTGCCTTTATAGGTTGCTGCCCAGCTGTGCACTTAAATCTGGTTTTATCACACTTTCTGAGCTCATCACATTTAATTCTGCCCCTACAATGCTGGATTAATACTTTAAGGGTCGCTGAAGTCAGAAGTCACTCACCCTTGCCCTACTAATGGATTCACACCATCCCTGCACGGCCCGGAGTGATGTGTACAGTAAACCAAATTTACTGTTGTGGCAGAGGGGAAGGGGCAGTGGGGCTGTTTGTTTATTTACTCCACTGCTCAGCAGCACTGCTCTGGCAGCTAAAAAGGAGAACATTCAGGTCTGTCTGGGAGAAGTGGAATCTGGCTGATTAACGGGGTACATAGACCTGATTAACGGGAACTGACCCGCTGTGCCCATCCAGGAATCACACCTTGCTGCCACACTCACTCCTGCCAGAAAGCCCAGTCCTGGTACTTTAGGTGTCCCATCTCTGATGTTTGAGTCAGCCCCAAAAGAATCAAAAAACAGTATTTTTTTTTTTCCTAAGGGTGACTTCTTGGTTGTTGCCTATCATCAAAAAAGCAGAGCAAAGCAGAAATGAAACTCTTCATCTAAACAACATTCATCACCACGTTTTACCTCAATCTGTTTTTATTCTCTGACAAGAAAAGAGCAGAGAGGCTGGTGTTAAACACTACCAAAACAAGATGAGTCATTGCCATGAAAAAATAAAGGCAAAATCATATTCTTTCTATTAATAAGAAACACGGAGAAATGAGGTGCTGAAGGTCCAAGTGATTTACATAAAGTCCCAGAGGGAGTCTGAAAGGGATCTGGGAAATAAAACTTGCTCCAGTGGAAAGGTCATTTTTCTCCTTCTTGCTGGGGAATACTTTGAACAGAACTAGGACAGACCTCAGCCAGAGAGGGACAGCAGTGACTGTAATGAAAAGTGGAGGCCAGAATTTGTCACTGAGAAATGCCATGACAATTTTTTGACCTTTGCCATTCAGTGACTAGACACATTTTTGGAACCGAGGTTAATAATCTTCAGCAATATACAACCTTTCTCCCAAGGAATGTGTGGTGATTAGGGCAAAGAATTTCACATGGTCACAAAATATCTATCTCAGAGTCCTGGGCTTATAAAATACTCTATTTCCTCCATTAATTGTGTCCACGTGGAGCTGTAACTAAGTAGCTGAAACAAATAAAACCAAAGCAATATTGTTTCCTTTTAAAATATTTCACTTAATTTGTGGAAGAGGTTTGGGCTCATTAAAACAGACCATCTCCCCTGAGAGCTTTTTCTCTTTCTACTCAGAGCCTTTGGAGCAATCCTTAGCGACGTGGACAGCAGCACAGCCCTGGCCACAGCCGCTCTCCCGCTCGGCTCAGCGGCTCCTGCCGTGCTGGCAGCCAGGGCGGACAGTGGCCAAGCACCTTCTGATGTGCCACTGCCCCGAGATCAACTGCTGCTCACTGGGATTTCCTCCTTCCAGCCCCGGCTCATTGGGAAACCCCGCTCCGTGCTCTCACAGAAAGGTGTGACTACCAAAAATCTCTCGTTTTCCTTTGGGAATGACAGTGCGTTCACTGTGACCGAGGGTGCAAGCAATGCCTGCACCTTGGCAAGGACACTCACGGCTGAAGCTGCTGTGCAGGCACTTGGCTGCTTCCTGTGGATCTCAGACTGTTCCCTCATCTTCCAGAGTAAGCTATGAATGAGTTATGGGTGACATCAGAAACCGCTGTCTCGCCAACAGACCGTGACAACTCCTTTCCCTGGGCTAATGTCAGTCACAGAACAGGGACAAAGCACACAAGGCAGAGGCAAAGAGCAACCTGCAGCAAGGCTGCCAGGCTGCACGAACAGCATCCAGAAGAGGAATGATTCCACATTCCTTTCCTGTGGAACACCATCTTTTTCTCCTCCATTGAGGTATCTTTTCCAGGTCCACTCCTCCAAAAGAAAGGCATTCACAAACATGGCTCTCTCTAAGCAAAACCAGGATAAGACCCAATGATGTCACAGACCCTTGTGAGCTCTCCCATTGCTCTGACCTGGAAAGTGCTGGTGCTGCAGTGGAACTGGGGCGATGCCAAGACCCAGGGGTGGGGGATGGAAGGATCTGACCAAAGGGGGGAAAATATGCGAGTATTTGCAAGTGTTTGCTTAGGGCAGAAGTTGAGATTGAGACCCTCCCTGTACCAGCACGTTTCACAAGGTAGTAATGCCCTGTTGGCACCAAACATCCTACCCTCTCCCGCGCTACTGATGTGGCTCCAAACTCTCATCAGGTACCTGGGACAGACGTGCTTCAGCTCTGTTTTCTGAGGGACATTTCCATAAAATTAGAATCGCTGATTCCTCTCCGAGTTTGTCCTTTACTCTTGTGGGCTCAGTTGCTCCATAGAAAAATCTAGGCCAATATTACCAGGCAACAACCAAACTACTCGTGAGGGCATTCCAGTCAAAAGGAGTTCAGAGGCTCCCCCAGTGCTGGGTCACTCCAGTTCTTCTCACTGGTTTTGTTCTCCTTCTAGGGGGGAAGCCACATCTGGAAAATGACTGGTGTCCTGCTGTTCACTATGGACACCACTGGGAACTGGCATATGGTCTTGTAAACTGTGATTAGATCTACAAAGTAAACTCTCATTATGACCTCTCTCAAGGTCTTTAAAAACACATTTCCCTAACAGCTATGATTATATCCAAATTCTTTCATTTTGGTAATAACAACATCATCCACATTTTCCTCTCTCCCTCCTCCTTTTTCTGATCATAATCTCGTTAGGCACAATAGAGAAATTATTCCATAATTCTCTTTTCTCCCTGCGGACTTGTTCTCTGGGCACAAACACTCTCCTCCCACCAGAAAAACAGTATAAACATAAACAGCTTCTCCGTTCTGGAGGAGCTGAACCTGAGGTGTGGGGCTTTTCTGGACCGTATGAAAAAGTAACTACCATCAGACTTTCATTAGCATCATCATCAGTGTTATAACTGCTTATGTTAGAGCCCCCCTTAGAGATGACAGTCAGGACCAAGGGCTGATGACTGTTCAGATGCTGTACAAACAGAACATAAAGGCAGTCCTTGCCCTCAACAGCCTGAGACGTATCTGAGCAGTGCAGACAGCGTGAGAGCCAGGACCCAGCTCCATTAACCCTGTGTCACTGCCATTCCTCTGCTGCCTTTCTGCAGGGCTTGAAGTCTCCCTTCTGCAGCCTCTGCTGGTCACCAGCACAGCTGTCCCAACCCCTCTTCTGCAGCACAAAGCCCAGGATTGCCATCGCTCAGCCCCAGCAAACACACTCTCAGTAACTGGCTGGGATGGCACTGAGGTTCTGCCCGAAAGCTTGTCCCCACCATAAAAGCCATGGGAGAACTTGAGTGGGAAGAAGATTTCTGCCCTAAGTATATTTATTCCAGAGTATAATGTTCTGCTCCAGGCAGGCAGGAAGGCACCAGTCCCAGGTGACTTCAAAAGAGCTAAGTCAGGATCACCTCTGAGCTGAGAGGGAGAGCTGGACCTGCTGACTCTGCAAGGACCAGTTTAGGAACTGCAGCACCTGGGAAAAGGCATCTGACCACAGCAGGACAATTTGGAGTGCCTAAGTCATTCCAGCATTCTCTGAGGGGAAAAAACCTACACACCTGACTGAGGGCTGTGTGTTGCCTATATCAGACCTGTAAAGAACCACGTGATGGTATTAAATATTTAAAATGCTACAATTGCAACAGAATATCCCACTCAGATGAATCACGGGAACCAAAGGGGTAAAAAAGCCCAGGAGCAGTTTGCTCAGCAACAGGGAGTGGGAGTGCAGGTCACATCTGTCCATACAGGCATTTTCTGGATCATGCTGTCCGTGTGTCATAAATGGAGACATAAATGAACGCTTGGTTTGAAGGACTGACTCATTTGACTTTGATAAGATTTTATCTTGATAAAACCCAAAATGATTGACATCTCCTATTTCTTGGGTTTAATGAGCTCATAACTGCACTTTAATTGGTTTAATTACCAGAACATAACATTACAGGTATGTAATGTAGACCTGTAATACAGAGTTATACAACATATTATACTTGCTATACATCATAAATTACAACATGTAATATAACACAGTTTTTCGTGGGAATTATTACCGGGATTATCAGTTGTGAGTGTTCAGCGACATGAATAGAAATTTCCCTTAAGTAATGTCTTTGGGATTCGGCCCTCCTTGTACAAGAACATACATCTGAGGGAAGTGTGAAGGCTGTGAAATATGAAATTATTTGCAGGCTAGGGTGGGATTTGGATCCAGAAAGCTCAGGGACTAAGTTCCTCCGAGATGTTTAGGCACCTCACTCCCATTTCAAATTTCCATGTTCACGTCAGAAATACAGTTTTCCCTCTAGCTTTTTCCAAGGCTGACTCCACGCTCACAGCATTTTCTCAATCTATTTATTGTCCTCATTTTGGAAATTACTATTAACAGAGCCCAAGTGTTTCCCTAATGCAATTGTTTAGATCTCTCTGGTGACACAGTTAGCAGCTGGGAGAAGCACCGCAGTGTGCAGTTGTGTCTTTAATTATCTCTCCATTGTGAGCAGAGATTCTCTGTGCCAAGGCAGTTATTACACCTGACAAGGACAATGTATTTACAATGGGTGTTTATACAGGCTAATTCCTTATAAAAATACCTTGACAGAAAGTGCTCCACCTGCCTTCATGTTCCCTATCGCAATTGCTAATTAATATTATTGTGCTGAAAATGATCCTATCAATTAAAACCTCTCCTGTCAGAAGTGCTGCTCCCTGCCTAGCTATGCCTAATTAACCTGCTGCTGACTCACTCCCCAGGAAGGATGTTCAGCAGCCAGACAAAGTCTGGCTGATCTGCTTCCAGTGCTCTGCTCTGTTTCACAGAGTCCTCTGCTCAGCTCAGCATGTGCCTCCCTGAATTTACCCTCTCTGTCTGCCTCCACTCCACTGCTGCTGCTGATTCAGGGTTTAAAGCCACAGTCAGGTTCCCAGTAAAATTCTCAACCATTTATCTGGTTAGCAGAGCTGACCATACACGTATTTTCACAGCCAAGTGCCACCTGATTCACTTTTCCAGTCACACTGCTTCGCATACAGCTGTAAGTGCATTCGTGCTTTGGGGCAAAATGGTTCTGCAGGACACTGCAGATATCGTGAATTTCCTGTATATTTGACAAACTAAAATGATGTTTACATTGCTGGTATAAATGAGACCTGAGCCTTCAAACCGCATCAGAGTGGAATGGTTTGCGGATCTGTTGCCTGGGCATTGTGCTGGGGACCGGGAAGGACAGTGGGAAATGGCTGCCATCAGCCCCTGACGGGTCAGGTTCAAGCAGTGACTCTGTGCTTGTGTGTAGGTATGCAAGGATACAAACAGCAGTCTAATGGGATTGTCAAAAGGACATTACTCACCCCTCGGGAGGCCAGGCCGCCTCTTCTGCCAAAGAGCTCCCGCGTGGCTCAGCTCAAATTGCAAAACCTCCATGTTCTCCAGTTTCTCATCTGTTACAAGAGAGATAATTACAGAGGTGCTAAGAGGATAAATGTAGTACAGTCTGGGAGGTGCTCAGCAAGAGCATGTAAGATAGATGGGGCATGACTAGTTGCTCCTGTCTCGGGGCAAGCCTGGGCTCTGCAATGACACGGATGGGGCTTCTGGCCAACCGAGAAACAAGTCGCGTGGCCAAGGGGGCTGGGGGAGGGCTCTCAGGGTACGGGGTTGTCCTCACTGGGTTTGCTGCAGAGCAGCCACTGATGTTGGACTCTGAAGCTTCCTTGGGCCTTTCCAGTAATCAAAAAATCATCAGGATACCGCTGGAGGACCCTATTTAAATTATATTTCTGGTGTCCCTCCGTGCCACAGCAAACATCACGAATCACACGGAGGGGAAAAAAAAAAACCCAATCTCCTATTTTCCAACTCTCCAAAAAAGACCAGCTTAGAAAGAGGAAGAGCATTCCTGCTGGAAGCTGCTGTTTGCTCATCCCAGCTTGCTGGGCTGTCCTCGGTGACAAAGCTGTTTGCCACATGTTGCTCAGTGGCACCACAGCGATGATGTCAAAGCCAGCGCAGCGGGGGGACCCATCCTGCCAGCCCAGCACGTGGGGGCTGCGCACAAGGAGACAGGATCTGAGGAGAGAGCATGTCATGGGTTGAGCCTCTTTTCCTTGGAACCAGCTCCGCAGTGCGTGTTACAGATTAAATTCGAGGCAAAGGCAAGGAAATCTTGTGGAGGGGTGGCAAAGTAAGAAACCACATGCCTGTACCTTTGGGCAGATAAGGCATCCAGGCTGCTCCTTCTGGAGATAACCAACAGCAACAAAAACAAAGAGAGAAAGGGAAATATATAAAACTTAAAAACCGAATGTATCTTCCAGTGTACAAAATGAACCAGTGAATCAAACAGCCTAAAGGAAAAGGAAGAGGTATGGAAAAAACAAGACTTTTATACCCCCATGAAATCATAGGAGTCTTGTAAAGAGAGGGAAAGGAATTATTTGTTGTCAGAGAAGTGCGAGAGTGACGCTGTGAAATGAAGCAGGTGATCAGCCCACTGTGCCTGGGCATCTTCAGCATGAACCAGGATTAAGGCACTGCAAAAAATGTTCCACTCAAGCCTGTTCCCAAAGCATGCCAGGAGGAGCATCTTAACTCCCAGGTCTCCCTCTGTGGCAATCCCCTTCCTCTTCCTGTGTTTGGAGATGGGCTGGAAGACCGCCAGGATCGACCGTAGTGTACATCCCTCCCTTTATGGAAATACTTGTTCCTGTCAGGGACTCCATGGGAGCTCAAGGTGTGCAGCCTCTCACTGGATCAGCACTTGTCATTGCCACCGGGAATGGGGATAACAACAATAGGACAGGGAAGAAATAATAATGCAACTTCCTTCCAACCTTGAGGTCTGCATGTGTTGGGACAGCAAGGAATCCACAGGGCACTTGGATCCTGTCTTCTTTGAAGCAGCAGTAAAAAGAAATGGTTGGTAAAACATCAGAACAACCATATATGTGTGTGGTTAACAGGCTAAATATAAGGAATACACATCTCTTCCTTTGAAATAGGCTGTTTTGCCAAAAGGGGATCGCTTAGCAAAAGAAGAATCTTTTTTTGAGTGCACTCTGCTTTGAGGGGAAAACATCCAAAAGAAAAACAAAAATGCCAAGAGCACTGCAGTTGTGCCATCTCAAAATTTACAACATGAGGCATTTGGCTTTGTCACCTTCAAGTTTTCACACAGATTGTTATGCAAGACCGTGGAAAGCAGGAATGGAGACAACAGGGCTCACTTTTCAGGAGGGAAGGTGGATGAGGAATTTTTCTTCTGGAGTGATTCTTACCCTCATAAGTCAGATTTCAAAATTCCTTCTTGTCAGGGGTTCCATTTGGAATATTGCTATTACCCCCCGTCACATCTCCTGGTGTGCCAATCCTCCCAGAGCCCACAGCTCATAGCTCTGGGAACTGAGGAGCAAGGAGGTGATTTTTGTAACTTACCAAAGAGCATCCCTGGCAGCACCAGTGATGAGCTGTATATTGCGACTCTGTGATCCACAGCCCGGCCAAAAAAATCCCCTTTTCTACTCGGTTTTGAGCCAGCCTGGGTAATGACAAGGAGTCTTTTGTTGCCCTGTGAGGAGCTGTTTGTTGGTCCAAGCTCACTTTCTCTCATTAAGGAGGCAGCGAGGGGGGAGCGGAGGCCGATCCCAGCGGGAACACGTGTCCTAGGTTGGCCCATCTGCAGAATAATCCTCCAGGCCAAGAGCTGAGTCTGGGATCAGCTACATGGCGAAGTTCCCTCGCCACGGCAGCCAGAGCAAGCGTGGTGACAGTTATGGGCAGGGAAACCGAAATGTTCTGGGGAGGAAGGGCACAGGCAGCGACAGCAGTGGTAGTGGGCTCAGTAAGGGCAGGAGCTGGTGGAATACATAATGCAGCAAGGTGGTACTCTCAGAAATCTAGGACTTGCCAGAGGAACAAATGAAATCAGCCAGGCTCGTGATTTGGTTTGATTGCTTCCAAACCCATCTTTAATCTGAGTTCTTTTCACAGTCATCACAACTGGGCTTGCATGAATCTTGGGGCCTAATCCTCGTCTGGTGCAAGCTGGAGTGAATTCATCTAATTCAAGGGAGCCTCGCCAGTTTACATCAGACTGTGGTTATATTTAAGTGTAGGTCATTTAGAAATATGTAAATACTTATTTCCAGCTATACTTTTTGAATGAACCAAATAAATATGAAACCTACCAGGATACAGAGTATCCCAGAGTTTTGTTTTCTTTTTTTTTGAAGCCATGGGACAAATATCCCCCGTGCTGAATCACATCGCAATGCAGGAAACCCAAGGATGTCAAAACCAGTCAAGGTCTCAGTGGAGTACTGCCCAGTCCATCCTTTTCCACAAAGGGATATCCAGAAGGGTGCTAGGCTTCTTCCAGGCTCCCCTACTGACTGAGGGGGTGCAGCTCCCTTGAAAGAAATGGGACCCTTCCAGATTTTCCCAGATGAGGGTTTGGCTGTGGGATTTAGACAAGTCCTGGTCTGACAGTCTCCTGGAAGAACTGGGATGAAAGATGTATCTGGAAGCAACAAAGCTCTGACCAAACCCTGGGTCCTTCCTCACCTTTCAGAAGTGGTCAGCCTCAGCTTCCAGAAACCCTCCCCAGACTGAATTTTGCAAGGAGGAAGGCCAGCCATGATTTACCTCGGCGCAGGGGTGGGCTGGGTCTGAATAGTCCCCCCGTGCAAGAGGGAGCACAGAATTCAGGAACTGTTTCTGATTCTTCATCTCTAGTGACAATTCTGCTTCCCACATCCTAATTTCTAGCCATGGTGAGTTGTTTTGACCTGTACCCACAGGAACATTCTCGACTCATGGGAGGAGTCACAAAGTAAGGAATGGAAGCATTTCCCCAGGGAGGAGAGACTATTTGTAAGTTTAAGACGAAAAAAGGCGATTACCTGGATTAGATGTAGTTCAGTAGGTCAGAAGCAGCAGCAGCAGCAGCTCCCTGAAAGACAAAGACAAAACCCCATTAGCAGTGGTTTCTAGCGAAATAAAGTTTCAAACCCAGGGAGGACCCAGGCACCAGCAGCTCTTTCACTGCCTTTTAGCAGCAGCCTCTAAAACCCTCAGTGCAAAGGTCCCCAAAAAAGACCAAAACCTCTGGGTAATACCTGAGTATCAAGAGAATGTGCAGTATCACCTAATGAAGTCCTGAGTAAGAGAAATTCCTGTTTTATCTCCGTGCTTTGTTGTTGCTTTGTTTTTTTAACATCCTTTGCACTTGAGTAATTGTCTCCCTTAGCAAACACGGTGCACGTAACGTATGGCAGAGGCAAAAGAGCTGTATTAAAAGCCATAATTACTGCAGTTTAACAATTAGTAGTTCTATTTGCAGATGTTTTGAATAAGATTTATGGTATGTTTTCTAATTTTAAATTTCTAATTAGGGGAAGAAGCTTAGCCCTGAGTATTTCTTCTCTAAAAACTTTACACTAATATACAGTATAGTTTTGGTCTGTAGAGAGGGATACAAAACCAGGAAAAAAACATGCAGGAAGAAAAGGATAAGGTTTTTTTTTGTGTGTGTGTGTGTAAGCAAAGTTTAAATGGAATAATTAAATTTACCATAATCAATAAAATGTGTGAGTCGAGTTTATTGAAGTAGCTATTTCCCATTGCATAATTTCCCTGGGGGACTTTCATTTTTAATTCAAAAATAAAAAAATAATAATTAAAAAAAACAAACCCCTGAGCAGTTACTGTAAATATGCCAGCATATGTGTGAGGTTAAGAAAAGCACGAGCCTACACCCAGGAATCAAAGAGGGGCTTACCACTGCTTTGACACTAATTGTAAAAGCTGAACATTTTCTAGAACCATAATCAAATCTTAACTGCCATGGGGGACTCATTGAGCAGCTCACAGTAATTCTAATAAGATGCAGAGCCTTTCACCTTTAGGTCACCAGTTCAAACCCACTTTGGGTTGGTTAGTAAACAGAAGGTAAATCCGAGCCCGGTGAGTGCCAGAGCACCGACAGGAGATGCCAGAGCAGCAGGGGGAAAGGGTTTTCCCTCCCTTCCTGTGTCATCCATGCGTCCCACCGGATTGACCTGGCCACCTCCTCAGGGGACTCGCCTCATCTCCCTCAGCCTCAGATTATCCCTTCTGGAAAGAGGATGGGAACCTGCCCTTCCTCCATTTCAGCTGGAGCCTCCCCAGATGCCCCATCACACCCCCACCCAGAGACCCCGATCTCGCCACCGCGTTTTTCAGCACTGCCATAACGCCCTTCCCAAGAAAACATAAACAGTGACATCACCTCTGTCCTACTTCCACCTACACTATTCCTCTTAATTAATGGGTTCATTTACTTGAGCACCACATGGAGAACAGAGGGGTCACACAAGCAGTTGAGAACACCAGGCCCCTGCCCTGGGCAGCACAACAAACAGCTCTGCCAACACCGGCAGCGTTGGGAACCCAAGCCAAGTCCTCGTCTTGGCACTTCACCTGGATTCAGGTGGAACGTCCTGCATTGCTCTGAGCTGCTGGGACAGGAAATCACAGCTCCAGCTGAGGCCCCCGGCACCACCAACAGCCCTAAAGTGCCTGAAGTTCTGTGGCAAGCACCCCATGTGCTCCCTGCTACACCAAGGCCTGGATGGGTCCGGCTCTACTGCATCTTCCTTGCTGATGCCATGAATATTGGTGTTCCCAGCTGGGCAAATACCAAATGACAGCTACATGACCCAACCAGCCTGAGGATAGAGTGGCCACCACCGTGGCAGTCTCCTCCTGTGTCCCTCAAACACACGTGTGTGGGGACGATCGGAGGCTGCTTTGCAGAACGCAGCTGTGGGATGCGGCCCCAGCCCTCTGGCTGTGACGGTGTGCACAGTTCTGTGCACGTGTGTGAGTGGGTATAACAGTCCCAAGCCTTAATTGTGTCCAGTGTTACTACAGCTGAGGAGTCGAGGAGCTCTGAGGAACAATTCATTCATTGTCCTCTACACATCTGGGGTAATGTTTCCTCCTTGGATTAGCCTGTACCAGCGTGTTCCCTCTCTGCTCACCACAAGCTACCAGTGCCAATTTCCCTCCATGGCTGCTCCAGTGACAGCTGTTTACTTGGAAGCTCATGAATTTGATATATGGGTGCTAGCCACAAATTAATGGAATACTTTCCAGATGCGATGTCTTTAAATATTCAAACAATAAGCCAAAAGCAGTGAGTTGTTCTGGCCATTTTTTCCCCTCTTAGCTCTGGATGTCCCTCAGAGAAGATGTAAACACAATTTCTTGTGCCACTGACCAGAATACTTCGATGTTTGAAAGGTGAGCAGCAGCATGAGGTGCTGGGTGGTAAATGTCACCTGAAGCCAAACCCAAAATGGCCAAAAACCAGCAGAATAAAGCAAAAGGAAGTGTCAAGGTTGACCCATAGGAGGTTGCCTTTCCAGCCAGGGGCTTCATGTGCTGGCCTGAACTCAGGTGAGCTGCACAAGCTCCAAAGGGTGGCTCCCCAAAACAGCTCCAGAGGCTCATCTGGAGTATTCCAAAGCAACAATAACAGCCTGCTGACTACCTCTTAAACCTCTTCTTGCTAGCTTTCCTCTAGAAATCCTCCTCGAGCAGAGGAGTTGATATTTAGCCCAGAAATGGGGACAAGACCTGCCCCAGCTGTGCCTTCCTCCACAGCCCAACCCTCAGCAACGGCACCGCTCCTGTGATCTCAGTTTGCACCGATATTCACCCTAACACTGAGGACTGGCATGGAAACAGCACCCGAGGGGGAAGATCAGCACACAGAAATGGACAAAATTGCTGTGGGGCTGGGGTACTTTGGGCTGTTATCACTTCTGCTGGAAGCTGACAACAGGTCAGGCTGAAAGCTGTGGGGAAGTGGAATGGCTACACCAATGATTTACACCGCGGCAGAGCCCGGGCCAAGACGTGTAGCTGATTTCTTGGCCAACTTACATCACTTTTTCTTCCCTCATTGCATTTTCTTTGGCATTTTCTTCTTTGCATTTACTGATTTTCCTCCACTGAAATTTAACATGATCTGGACAGTTGAGCCACCAGGATATGGGTTTTCTATCCAGTAGTTAAAGGGAGGAACCTTCCTACATACTTTTATCTACTTAAAAATGCCAACAAACATGAGCTGTGGCCTTAGATTGGAGGAGGGCAGGAGAGAGCTCCAAGAAATCCTGTCTGAATTTGAAACCAGTTCAAGCCTGAAATGCTGCCTGTTTGAAGGTGGCTCCTTTATTCCCTCCAATGTTGGTATTAATTAGAGAATGAAGAGTTATTAGTTATAATCAACTTAACTGAATTGAAAAATTCAAGCTCATTACCTTAGAGGAGGAAAATAAACATCATTTTACAAGGTTTTTAAAGCAACAACGGTAATAACAAACCACCCCAAATTCTAGTCCACAGGCAGAATGGACATCTTCTAGAAAAATATGATTATTCCCCCACCCACCACCGTCAAATTTAGGGATTTGTGGAATATGGGCCTTGCCTAAAGTTGCTTGGCAGAAATCCTCACGTTAAGTTCTCATTTAATGAAATCATGTGGTAGTAAATCAAACACAGAAACAGGAATAAGTAAATCCACCACATCCTTTGAAAAAAGTACGGTTGGACTCCGTCAACCCAAGTTGCCTGGGCAATGAATTATCTGTTTTTGTCAACTAAAAAGCAATCAATCCACCTTTCTGCGTGATTTCCTAATCTTCAGTCCCAAAGCTGAGCCAAGAGGCAGCACAAAACAGGCAGGTCACCTGCAGAAAGAGCTCCTGAAACCTGCACTGAATGTTACATGAGAGGTGGCAAATGAGTGTCAAACAACGAGAGGAAAACCAGGCAGGAGAGTGGGAAGGGCAACACCAGGATCATGAAAACTGGAATCTAGTACCTACTGAAGCCAGCAGAAGCCCTTCACAGAGCCATGGTTTTCTCCATGCCCTTTGTGCTCCCACCTGCTTCAGAGCCAGGCAGAGGTGCTGGGTGGACTTTGTCTGCTGGGAAATTCATTATTTGGTCCCACAGAATCCAGGCCTGCTGAAACGACAATATTTGCAGACAACGACTGATCTCTTCTCAATTATGTTTCCGTTTTCTCTCCTGTCTTCCCTCGCCTTCCCCAGAAAATACATATTTGAATTTTGGTGCCCAAAATCTCTATGGGAAAAGTAGGTTCAACAAAATTTTCAAAATTTTCTGCAGGAAACTTAGATATCTGGAAAGTCACAACAAAAAATGAACATTCCTTGTCAACATTTGCCTTACGAGTACAAAACCATGGATTTCACTCTATGATACGTCCAAGAAAGCAAAAAGATGTCCAAGGAGAGTGACCTGGTTGAAAGCAGTTGAAAAATGCACTTTATCAGATCCTGGGTGCCCATTTTGATCCACTCAGATCACTGTCCAACCCATGACTGCTGCTTGAAATTAATTTAATCCATTTTTGGATCCATTATCGCTTAAGCCTTGTGATTCATCACAGCGAAATCAACGAGAAAGGAACTTCTCCGAAATCTCAGGATTTCTCGGAATCCCCGTCCGAGCACTGTTTAAGAAGATCTGACTCTGTAATTAACCATTTCTGAGGGAGTTAAAAAGTATAAACAGCTTAAACCTGGTATTTTTACAACCTTAATAAAACCAAAGGCGGCATTTACTGGGTAGAGGTTTTTAGGACAAGGGAAAGGTCGCTACAGCAAAAGGGCAGTTGCTGCAATTTTTAACAAACCCGGTGGTGACTGCAGAGCAGAAAGGTGCAGGTTATTGCCATAACAAAACCCAGCACATCCATGGCGTGCTGCCTTCAGCTAAAGGCACTGCTGGAGGGATCCTTCCCAGCTATCCAGAGCATTCCCTGCTGGGAGGAGCCAGCAGTGTGTGCTCCTCCCGGTGCATTTGCTTCCTTTGTGGCCCAATTTCCAGAGGTAAAGGATAACCTGAACTACAGGCAGG